CTCTGAATCTTCGAGTTTCACACTTAGTACACAGCATAATATCACCCTGGCACAACATGACATTCCTCTTCATATCACAGTCCTCACATTTCATGATTATCGATATAATATTCAGCAAAAATGTGATAATTTGGAATATACAGGAGCGCGAAAATCACATGCAACTCACTGACTCACTGCTGTTGTTTACTTTGAGTACAATGTATCCATTATCATTCATTCCAACTCCGTTGCTCCGTGTGTCATGGACTGAGTATTATACTCGGGGAGGGGCTGATACTCGGGGAGGGGCTGATACTCGGGGATGGGCTGATACTCGGGGAGGGGCTGATACTCAGGGAAGGACGGTATATGCTTTGAATATAGCGATTATCAAAATTGATCAAAACACAGCCCCTCTTTCATCAGTCTGGCAACTGTCATTGTTTTAGGTTTATCCCCTTGTAGCAATGACGTACAGTATCCCGTAAAGCATAGCACTGCTATAAATCTTGCAATTTCATTGCATTAGTGAAAACATTTCGCGTCAACCAAGTGAACCCAGAGAAATGTTCACAATTTTGTAATTTTCACTACTCGTTTACAAAAATCTCTTGTGATATTAAAGTACCGGGTAGTTTACAGTACTGTAAAACATGTCTTTTTCGCGAGCATGTCTTTTTCGCGAATTAAGCGAGAGAATGATTCGCTTATTCAAGATGTCGCTAATGACTTTATTATCAATTCAAAATGGCCGCCAAACAAAGAAATCAACACTGACAAGAGAGATTCGCTAAATCAACATTTCGCTATTACGTCATTTTACCACAATTCGCTAAAATTGCATGCCGCTTTTTCAACACTTTTTACAGTATATCCCGATCAAATAACAACTACTTAATGTATTGTATTTGTTTTTCTGTTAAGAGGTGTCATTGTGCCAATTAAGAAAGAAAGCACAGTACAGAATATTGTTGGTTTGCTGAAGTCTTACTCTGAGAGTAAACAATACATGAGAACTCACTCTGGTGGTGCCAAGATATTTGATGAACTCGAATCCAGGTAATTCCAATTTTCAATACAAGATTAATCATCATCATCATCATCATCATCATGAAGAGATTTTGACTGCATTAATGTATGCATTTACATTTGTTCTTGTCTATAAATTCCAGAAATTTGTTCAATATCATGTGGCCTTGTTGGATTTGATTATCCATGGGGATGCTTGATCTTGCTTGTAAATTTTTTTTTCAACGTCATTAGGGCGAAAAGTTTTTGAATTTATGAAGAAAGTAGTAGCATTTTGAGAACCATCAGAAAAACCACTAATGTTTACTGTTCACTGTTTATCGTGGCATTAGTTGTTATTTATTTTATCTGTGACATGACATGCATGAAATATTCAAATATACTGATAAAAATATAGTCTGAATAAAGAACTAAAAATGGAAGTTAACTTTGGCATGTTGTTTAGTGGTAAATATTTAATTTGTATTTCAAAGTCTTTATTGGCACTGTTGTGATGGTATGGAAGAAAAGCATCTCTTTCCATCTGAAGCAAGCAACTTTACAATCCTTTGTATAATTTAATTCAATATTTCAGGTCGAGTGGATGACAGCAATTTGATTAATTGATCAAGGAACATTATTTTTTTTCTTCTTTTACAGCATTATGGGAATCATTGGAAATTCAGGTGCCGCTGAAAATGCATTGATGACATTGGTAATACCTGTTTTTCTGGTGATGTCCCGGAAACCTGAATATTGTAATGATGAGTAATCTGACACAGCCGCATTATTATGTGTTGAACCATGGGCTAAATCAATAATACTTTGCTTATTATCTTGATTTGTGTAATGAATGTTAGAATTTACTTTGAACACAGTTATCTCTTTTCTGCAAATTGAAATTTATGATTTACTGGAAACGGTTATTATATACTTGAATGTGATTCAGTGAAATATTGTATTTTGGCTGAAGTATTCTTGTCTGACATAGTGACTTCATGTCGTATTTCTGTTCATTTGTCTGGGTTTTTTTTTGTTCTATGCAACTGTTGCATTTAATTAGCGTGAGTTGTCTGACTCTATAACATTCCATATGGTCAGTTTGTTTTGTAGTTTCTACATGTATTGTCTGTGAGAAATTGAGACATGTACCGGTATATAACATCCATTTGTTTAATAAGGATCAAAATGGCCGACTGGTGACCATTTTGTTTTTGAACTATAATGCTTCATGCATTGCCATAATTTTGTTTGATTTGCATCTGCTAAGGGAATGCAATAAGGCTGACTGCTAATCAAACAGAAACTTGTGGATTGTCCATTTGTCCATGCGCTCTTATCATGGACATGCATGTGTCTATCACATTCAAACTTCATACACAATGGGAACTTGTTGAACGTCTTGTTAGTCATATCAAATTCAAAATGGCTGACTGGCGGCCATTTTTAGTCTGTCTGGATGTTTTTAAACTCTCTGGATGCATCTGTCCGTTCATACTTCAGTCCGTTTGTCCTTGTATCTTAGACATAATTGAACCAATCACATTCAAACTTTACACACACATCATACATCTTGGGACATGTACATGTCTATTTCTTCCGAATCCAAGTTGGCAGAATGGTCGTCATTTTTGTATCAAATATTCATCAAAATCATTGATTTCTGTCATTCCAAAACTGGATCTCAGTTGTGTATGGAATGATTCCATTCAAATCTAGTACAAACATTCAAAATGTTGTTACCTTGAAACACATAATTTCATCAAGTGGCTGACTGGCGGCCATTTTGTTTTCATGAATACTGTGGATCCATACTTTTCTGACCATTCATATTCAAACTTTATACGTTTCTTAAATTTGTTCTGACCTACATTTGTATTTCTCTGTATAAACAGTGCCATCTCAAACCTTTGCTTTTAAACTTGATCTAGGTGACCTCACACAATTTCAAAATGTCAAACAATATAAAGTATTGATGTAGATTCCTGCCATTTATTACAATAATTGATTCATCTGTTTCAATATATTTATGTATCTTGTAGATATCTTTATACATATATAACACTAATATTGTATTTTAATGAATTAACAAGAATTGCATTCTGAGAATGTTTGTGCAGCTGTCTTGA